ATAAAAACAAAAAAACATGACATTTCACAGATTTACTAATTTTATTTTTTTTAAAGTAGAACAGAACACTTTTAATTATTTTATTCAACCAATTAATTTTTCATTGAAGAACGAAAACAGGAATGTTGAGTTAATATTACTCAATTGTGGCATGTGATGGAGGAATGTCCAGTGCCTGTAGGGGGTGTGGCCCTAATAGAGAGGCCGAAGTCCCTCCCCTTCCGGTGGACCTCCATGGGACCTTATTTCTGAAAAAACTATGTATTGAAGTCAATGGAGAGAGAAATGTTATCTTCTCGATCGCCGTTTGAATTGTGGCCACAAATCACACATACGATAGTTTGTCAATTTAAAAGAATAATTTGCAAGTCAAAAAAAAAAAAATGTGGTTGCGTAAAACTGTGAACACTTTGTTTGTGTGAATCGCTCCACAAGAACTACCATCTCTGGTCTCGCAGAACCACACGTCACCAAGATGGCCGTCACTACTGTCTTTTCAAACAAAACGAATTGACTACCTCACTATCACCACAATGAAACACGTCAGAAGAATGCCCATGCAAAGCTGCCTGCCCTGCCTTTCCCTTTGATTCTCCTCTGAAACTGCCCTGGTCTTTTTAATGTTTAATGTCCAACCATTTGTGCAGATAGCGTGAAGTAGAAAAGATCGCCAGATGCTTAATGTAAGCGTTAGCATTTCTCCCATTCTCCCCCGGGCTTAAGGTGTATTATAGAATGATACACAAAAAAACCACCGTGACAGTACTCTTCAAAGGGTTCACGAAATATGACTACTACTCGTACTGTTTTAACATGTTGGGTTACTTAATGTTAGCTTCATTGTTAAGGTTAATACAAATGACAAGGCTGTAATGCTAACTACGTGCTAGCTACTAGCTAGGTAGCCTAACTTGATCCAGCCACTTCCTGGTCCTTTCATCAGATGGGAAAGCGAAAGAACGAGCAAGACCCATTGCTGGTATGATAACAACCTGGTACTAAAGCACCAACAGGCATCTTGTTAAATTATCTTATCTTTAAGCCAGCGCCATATAGATAGATTCTATTACTGTATATGGCGCTGGATCTCAGCTATCTCTTAATGGAGGAAAACAGTTATGACATCACTTAACTTACGCGACTCTGGGATTATGTAGTCTTATATTTCAACAGTTTTACGACAAAACTGTGACTTTTTTGACACGGAAATGATCTGTTAAGATTGACAAACATCATATGTGTAATTCACGGCACAATTCAAAACGGTGACCGAAAGATACGTTTTTCTCTCTTCATTGACTTCAATCAAATTTTTTCCGAAATAGAGTGGCGAAGTCACCGACCATTCTACTCCGGTCCATGGGACTTATTTCGGAAATATTTGCATTGAAGTCAATGGAGAAGCAAACGTATCTTATGCTATGCTTATTATGCTAAAATAATTTTCCCCAAACTATGTTTAAGTTCCCTACGAAGAACCAACCTTCCATTTAGAAAATTCCAAGTTTATTCCCTGTTAATTCCCGTCGAAAGTTTCCATCTTTGAAAATTCCCGGAATTTTGCAACCATAACCTGAGTACACACAGAGACACACAGAGACAAACCTGAGACACACCTGAGACACAACCTGAGACACACCTGGTCTTTGTGGGTGATTTTTGCTTTCCTGAATCTCTTTGGTTGTTTCATTACATTGGATTTCTTTGTCTTTTTGCATCTGTTTTTCGCCTTTATGTGTCTCTTTGGTCCTTCAGTGTCTCCTTCAGTGTCTCTCTCCTTCACTCACGTCTCACTGTGTTTTCCAATGTTTCAGATCCAAGTCTAACCTGGGCCGTCTGAATCCTGAAGGAGGAAGAAGAAAAGGCCAGTTCAATATGAGGAAGACGCAGTTCTGCGGAACAGAACGCACATGCACACCTAGTGAGGGTCTTTTACTCTCTGTCTCACCTCCTCTAATCATCCTCTGTCACTCCTGTCTCAACCTCCTCCTCTCCCTCATCTCTCTCACCTCCTGTCTCACTCCCTGTCTCACTCCCTGTCTCACTCCCTCTGTCACCTCCTGTCTCACCCCATGTCTCACCTCCTCTGTAACCTCCTCTGTCCACCTCCTGTCTCACCTTCTCTCTCACCTCCTCTGTCACCTCCTGTCTCACACTCCTGTCTCCACCTCCTCCTCTCACCTCCTCTGTCACCTCTTGTCTCACCTCCTCTCTCCACCCCTCCTCCTCACCTCCTCTCACCTCCTTGTCTCACCTCCTCCTCGCTCCTCTCCTCTGATCTCACCTCCTGTCTCCACCTACTCTCTCACGGCCTCTCTCTCACTCCCTCTCACGCTCCTCTCTCACTCTTCTCTCACTCCCTTCATCACCTCCTCTCTCACCTCCCTCTCACCTCCTCTCTCACCTCTCTTCACCTACTGTTCACCTCCTCTCTCACCCTCCTCTCACCTCCTCTCACCTCCTCTCTCCACCTCTTCTCACCTCCTCTGTCACCTCCTGTCTCACCTACTCCTCACTCCTCTTCACCTCTGTCTCACTCCCTGTCTCACCTCCCTCTGTCACACTCCTGTCTAACTCCCTGTCTCACCTCCTCCTGTCCCTCTCTGCACCTCTGACCCTCACCTTCTCTCTCACCTCCTTCTGTCCCTCCTGTCTCACCTCCTGTCTCACCTCTCTCTCACCTCCTCTGTCCACCTCCTGTCTACTCCCCTGTCTCACCTCTCTCTCACCTCCTCTCTCACCTCTCCTCACCTCCTTGTCTCACCTCCTCCTCATCAGCTCCCTCTCACCTCCTGTCTCACTCCTGTCTCACCTACTCTCTCGCCTCCTCTCTCACTCTCTCACCTCCTCTCTCACCTTCTCTCTCCTCTCACCTCCTCTCTCACCTACTGTCTCACCTCCTCTCTCACCTCCTCTCACCTCCTCTCTCACCTCCTCTCTCACCTCCTCTCTCACTCCCTCTCTCACTCCCTCTCACCTCCTCTCTCACCTCCTCTCTCACCTCCTCTCACACCTCCTCTCTCACCTGCTCTCTCACTCTCTCTCACCTCCTCTCTCCTCCTCTCACCTCCTCTCTCACCTCCTCTCTCACCTGTTCTCCTCTGGTCTTCCTGCAGGTTTGTCAGCAGGAGCCACCAGGTCTCCTTCCCGTGGATTGACCCGGGTTAGTGCGTCAGAACAAACAGAACACATGTTATTTCTCCACCCATTGAACTGAAGAGCGACTGCAAGGCTCTCTGTGTTGTGCTTTGAAGGTCAGATACACACGTGTTGCTTTAGGGAAACTCTTGGAGGTCATTTCAGAATAAAAGCCCTCGCTCGTTAAAACATTAGCATTCAAGCTGCAAGACATGTTTGAGATATGATGGAATCCCTGGAGGAGAAATGCAGATAAAGAAACATGACTTTATTATTATCTGATTTATTAAGATTAGGAGATTGGATCAATTTAGATGTATTTCAGTCCAATTAAAGGCGGTAAGTAATACACATCTTTTTGGATGCATACATACCGCCTCTAAAACCACAGAAGAAGAACATGGCTGAAACGCAGAAAGCATGGCAGTCTGATTCCTGTCTCCTGGTTTCAGACGAGAAGCTCTGATCTGGTTCTCCAGTGAATTCAACCTTTAATAAATATCAGAGTGAAATGCTTCTCTTTGTGTTTCTGCAGATGCAGTCTGCAGAGTTCGCCTCGGAGAAAGGGCAGCCAGGTAGGAAAGACATTTGTCTTTGAAGTCATGATAATGCATGAAAAATATATTGAAACAAATGGAGCATCAGTATAAGAACTGTCAGAGTGCAACGTGACAAAAGCTAACGGATGAATCCCTGCTGTGCGCTGCAGCTTCCTTCCAGAGTTTAGAAACACACGTGGAAATAGGACACCTGTGAGAGCGTGCAGGACCCGCTGTAATCAGCTCCTGTCTGCAGCGCTCACATGAGCTGAGACGTGTCTCAAGACTCAATGAACGTGAAGATATTCAGTCCTGAGCTTTTCCTCAGATTGAGACACTTATTTCCACTTCTAGTGAAAGTGTATTACATCATGTGAACATGTCAATGACGCTGAATTGAAAAAGGTGTGCTTCACGTGTGTGTGTTCAGAGTTTAGCGAGCTATGAGTAGAGAACAAGTCTGATCCTATACCAATCACTAGATGATATTTAGGAACGTTGTGCAGAGAGATGTTAAACCTGTGTGTGACTGACTTCCTGTTGTTGTGTCTTTGCAGCCGCTGAGGTGAGTGTGTGTGTGTGTGTGTGTGTGTGTGTGTGTGTGTGCTGTCAGCATCTAATTTAACCTGCATCGTTATTTAAAAAGCTGCACTAACTGTGTGTGTGTGTGTGTGTGCGTGCGTGTATATGCGCGTGCGTGTGTGTGTGTATGCGCGTGCGTGTGTGTGTGTGTGTGTGTATGCGCGTGTGTGTATGCGCGTGTGTGTGTGTGCGCGTGTGTGTGTGTGTGTACGTGTGTGTGTGTGTGCGTGTGTGTATATGCGCGTGCATGTGTGTGTATGCGCGCGTGTGTGTGTCTGTACGTGTGTGTGTGTGTGTACGTGTGTGTGTGTGTGTGTGTGTACGTGTGTGTGTGTGTGTGTGCGTGTGTGTGTGTGTGTGTGTACGTGTGTGTGTGTGTGTGTGTACGTGTGCGTGTGTGTGTGTGTATATGCGCGTGCATGTGTGTGTATGCGCGCGTGTGTGTGTGTGTGCGCGCGTGTGTGTGTGTGTGTACGTGTGTGCGTGTGTGCGTGTATGTGTGCGTGTGTGTGTGTGTGCGTGTGTGTGTGTGTAGAATGGAGATGCTCGAAGGGAGAGGATGGACAGAGGAAACTCTCTGCCGAGTATCCTGGAGCAGAAGGTGAGAAAGTTATTTTTATTAAAGAATTAGAATAAAATATGAGAGAACTATCAAATATTTAACATTTGACTGAGTTTTAGCGGCTCTTATTCGGGTGATATGGCCCAGAGTGAACCTGTACAGAATAATGTTAGAATGTCATTTATATATTTAAACGCGTTGGGTTTTCCACACAAAATCATTTTCCCTCCTGATTCTTGTCGATATGAAACACTTTGAGGTTCATTAGATAATCTGGAAACTGCTGTGAGATTAGAGGGTTATTGATATTAGTGTGTGTGTGTGTGTGTGTGTGTGTGTGTGTGTGTGTGTGTGTGTGTGTGTGTGTGTGTGTGTGTGTGTGTGTGTGAGCAGGTGTATCAGTATGAGGCTCTGATGGTGACCCACAGGGGACGCTGCAGGCTGCCGCCGGGCGTCGACCGCACCAGACTGGAGGTGAGGAACACGTCAATAAACATCAGAATAATATAAATAAATAAAATGCTAACATAACATCCTCCTCCTCCTCTTCCTCTTCCTCTTCTTCCTCCTCCTCCTCTTCTTCTTCTTCCTCCTCCTCCTCCTCCTCCTCCTCTTCCTCCTCCTCCTCCTCTCAGAGACATTTGGCCCCCGAAGTGTTTCAGCAGACTTTCGGGATGCCGATGGCCGACTTCGATCGTCTTTCTCTCTGGAAACGAAACGACCTGAAGAAGAAGGCCCAGCTCTTCTAACGTGATTAACATCCGACCAATCAGAACCCTGGATTCCCCCTGAAGGCTGGCCCTCGTTAACCCCCGTCCAATCCGACACTCGAGTCGTTACCTGTGCTGCACTTATACTCACCTGTCACACACACACACCTTTGGTCTCTAACACACACATTCTGCTGTCATGAAGCTGGTTTCTCTAAGGGCTCGGGATGAGCAGATTCAAAACTGCTGAACCAATCAGATCGCAGGGATAAAACTACTGACCAATCAGATCGCAGGGGGAAAAAAGGAAGCCAATAGGGACAAAAAGTCACACATTTATAATAAATAAAGTGACGTTTTTAATAAAAACATCTACTGCCAGTCCAGATTATGTGGGATGCAATAAAGGTGATATTATATTATTACATATTTATTCTGTTCGTTTTTAAAGAGACAAACCTCTACAGGACTTCAATACCAAAAGTTAAAAGGTTTATTTATTTCTTGCAAAGTTTTTTCTTAATAATTTCAGATATTTTTAATCAATTTTCCTCCTAAATTTGCATAATTCTCCCTTAGATTTTGCACAGTTTTTTTCCTGTAATTTAACCACAATTTAAGTTATTTCTCGTAATCAAACCACTTTAATCTAATATTGGGGTTCTTTCTCTTGATTTTGCAGGTTCAACCCTAACCCATCAAACTCAGACACTTCCTCAGTTTTTCTCGTAAATGCAAATTGATCACTGAGAAAATCATTGTTTTATTACGTCTTAAATTTGCATATTTCCCAGAATTTTACCACTTTTATCAGAAAGTTTGAGTTTTATCTCGCATTTTTTGCAAGTATATATTTTTATAGACATAGGGAGTTTTTTCCTGTAGATTTAACACCTGAGGCGCTTTCACACCGGAGTACTTCTCCCAGGAATAGTTCCGATAGTTCTTGGGATTTTGCGTTCACACCAACAAGATCTGGAGCTAGAACTTAGTTAGAACCTTTTCACCCCAGAGTCCCTGCTAGAGAGGAAATGGTTCGTGGGTGTCGGCAAAACTAACAATTTCTGATTGGCTGGGCGAATTGCAAACCACACCCCGTAAAACTACGAAAAGTTTGGTGAAGCCGCCATTTTATTTGCTTGCATTAGCATTATTGGCATTAGCCCAGCTCACCAACGGAGAGAGACTAATTTATGGCAACACAAAATAAAACGTGGGAGCGGTGGAGACGAGAAGGGTCGGCACTTCTGGCGGCAGTATACGCAGAAGAAGAAGAAGTGACGTCAGCGGCTTCATTTGAGTAATCCTCCCTCGGGAACTTATTCCGGTGTGAACGCGATGTGCTAGGACAGTTCCAGGACTATTCCTGTGGAAAGTACTTGGTGTGAAAGCGCCTCTTATTCTCAGAGAATATTTCTTGTATATTTTATAAATCTCCCGGTAAATGTGCTTGTGTTTTTCCTAAAGAGTTTTTCTTGTAAATCAACCAATTTAATCTCAGAACATTTTTGATTTTTTTCCCATAAATCTGCAATTATTTCCCCAAAAATAAACCAAATCATTCTCAGATGTTTGATATGATTTCCGTAGTTCTCCTCACTAATAGATGCCTTTAACCCCGGAGAATATCTGGTGAATAAATCTTAAAAACCAGCTTCATGACTCTGAGCTGCTTCTGTCACGTACTAATCATGTAACAGATTGTAATATTTATCATAACGTGGAGCTTTGTATTTATTTGAGGATTGTAATGTTTACTGTGAAACATTTCATTTTGAAAATATGTTTTGTTGTACAGTTTTTTTTAATGACTTCACCGAAACACGTACCTTGCTTGTAAAGGAGCTACTAATCCAAATGATAGCATCTTCATCGTTAGCATCGTCTTCATCGTTAGCGTCCGTTGGGAAACGCCTCCACGCCATCCTCCATGTTTCTGTTGTTCGATGTAAAGCAGGCAAATAAATCTCAGAAATATAAACGGAAGCTGTGGTTTCTTTTTTTTCTCCTGGGTCCTTTAACCCATCACACACTGGTGACATCACTTTTATTATTTTATTTTGGAAAGCTGAAACACCACAGTAAGTACCTTTTTACCAAAGAAATAGAATATACTTAAAGTGGATAAAATTACTATTACAATGTTAATAAACCTCTGACTTAGCCAAAGGGAACATATATTTTAGTTTCAACATATTTGGTTTTTCCCCCAAAATGTTAAAACTACTTTTCTTCTTATTTAAGTACATATTTTTTTAAGTATCTCGCAATTTTAAATCATCCAAATATTATACACAATGTTGGTGTTTTATATTAGTTTCTCACACACTTCATTTTATTATTTAATTTTTAATTGTTATTTGTTTTTAATCTGTGTTCGGATTTTAAGTCATTTGTATCTTATATTTTAAATGAAAACACCAAACCCTGTAAACATATTGGCCAGTAAACCACTCAGATAAAACATTTTATCAAAACTTAAAAATCCCCACACTCTGTGCTGTCCCTGAACGCATCACTGTAGTTCTCTCTACCTTCTGTTTTCTGATTGGTTGAGACAGCTTCTCTAGCACTGTGGAGCTTTCTCTTTCAATATACAACCTTTAAATATTTTTAACATTAGTTTGTTTTTATACTTTAATTTTCTTTTAGACATATTTCTTTGTCACACACACACACTTTTTTTTTCTTCTATATTATTTATTGCTATAATTCTACAATTAAATCTTATTCTATAATCAAATCTACAATCATGTTTTAACATAAACAATCAATTTTTATAATACTTAATAGTAATTTGATTAGATTTATACCCGTTATGTTTCTGCTGTTACTACAGTGTATCCCTACTGGCTGTGGAGCTGTTTCACACCTCTGCACCATCATCATCCTCACCCTCCTCTTCATCACCACCCTCCTCTTCCTCCTCTTCATCGTTAACCTTTCTTCCCGCTGCAGGTAATACATGCTGAGGGTTTCCTGTTGCTTAGGAACTCGTGTTTCTGCAGCGACTCGAAGCCACTCGTGTGCACAAAGCCTCGCCGCCCACGCCGGCTTCTGATTGGCTGCTGAGGCGGCGAGGAGAGACCTTGAAAGCAGCACGGACACAAGCTCTTTTTACTTATCTCTTTTTTTATTTGAATGGAGTGAAACATCTACAGAAGTGAGGCCTCGCAGTACATGACAAACATTTCTCTTCAAATTTTAGCCGTAAAGAAAATTCATTTTATATTTTCTGTACATTCTGTGAGATATGTTCAGAGAGCCGAACAGAAGTCAGAAACGAGGCCCCGCTCCCACAACATAAGAGAAAGCTCCCACCCAGCGCGCCCACAAAAACCCCAAAAGAAAATGAAGACTCAAACCCCCCGGTCTGACCCTCACACCACATGTCCCTTCACTCCTGCGTCTCTTTGTATACTCAGATCTCCCTTTATGAAAACGTGGGTCTGATGTCCGTCCATCACCTCCGTCTGTATGAACGTCTGCGCTCAGAAACAAGCCGTAACTTCGGTGAATAAATCCAGCGTCTCTGAGCGAGGGAACGTTTCAGAAACGGAGGAAATTAAAATATTGTTTGTTTCTCCGGAGCTTTTGAACCACACGTTGTTAAAGACGGCTCGTCAGCTGGATTTTAATAATGAACTTTAACTCTCAAGACTTGGGTCAAATAAAGAGGGACTTAATCTCCCTTTTCGTAAATATATGTCTTTATAATATCTGGGAAAATTTGCTTCTCATTAAACACAGATTTTAATTTTTACCTCCTCAAATAAATCTAAATCTCAGGTTTTTATTTTTGTTTATAAGCATTTTCTCGTAAATGTAATCTTACAATCTGTGATTTCATTTAGTACATGTGTGTGTGTGTGTGTGTGTGTGTGTGTGTGTGCATGTGTGTGTGTGTGTGTGCGCGCGCGCGCATGTGTGTGTGTGAGTGTTAGTCTCTCAGGCACAGGGTTAGTGTGTGTGTGTGTGTGTGTGTGTGTGTGTGTGTCACACTCACCGCACTGCAGAGTTCTCCGTCCTCCGGACAAAACACCAACAGGTAGAGTTCCTGTGGGAGTCAACCCCTTCAGCTGTAACACACTCTCATTCTCCTCTCTACACACACACAAACGTACACACACGTAAACACAGTTAGTGATGAATCAGGACTCAGTGATTCAAACTAACTTTGTATTTCTTTATAAAACAGCTGATAGTCACTACAGCACATTTTGAAGGTAAAAAAAATGGGAGTCTTAAATTTAGTGGAAAATAAAACCTTTTGATAAAGTGGTTGAATAACAACAACCAGAATCAAAAATATACGAGAAATACACTATTCTCTTAAAGTGGTACATTTACAAGAATAAGCCCTGAAAAAAAAAAATATATAAAATATTTGTATCCAAGATTAAATTGTTTGATTTAAACAAAAGAAGCTTATTTGAAAACTTTTTGGTGTCTTTATTTATTTATTATCATTATTGTATTTATTTTTTATTAAATATGTATTATCCCTCCATATATAAAAAGATATTAACTCTATATTCACCCATCTGGACATTGGGTCATAACTAACTAACTAACTAACTAACTAACTAACTAACTAACCAACATAGTAACTAACTAACTAAATAACCAACTAACTAACAAACAAACTAACTACCAAACTAAGTAACTAACTAACAAACATAGTAACTAACTAACTACCCAACTAAGTAACTAACCAACTAACTACCCAACTAAGTAACTAAATAACTAACCAACTAACTATCTAACTAACGGACTAAGTAACTGAGTAACTAATTATCTAACTGAGTAACTAACTAACATAGTAACTAACTAACTAACTAACTACCCAACTAAGTAACTAAGTAACTAACCAACTAACTAACTAACTAACTAACTAACTAACTAACGGACTAACTAACTGAGTAACTAATTATCTAACACACTGAGTAACTAACTAACTATCTAACTAACTGATTAACGCCTGTGATGCTTCTCTGGGTCTTAAAATAACTTGAGTTATTCGTCATTAAAAAGGACAAATTGAGTGAACAACTTTTACTAAAGTGGAGCAAGACTGAAAACAGACCTGTAAGGAAACTACAACATAATCCTGTCCAACATTAAAATGTCCAAAATCAGCAGAATGATATGAATAAACCCATCATTAATATATAACATACAGAGAGGTATATCTCACCTGAGCACAGAGAAGACGCGAGCCATCTTCCCGATCGCCCGGATTTTATTCCTGATCACCTCCTTCCTCACAGCAGGGGTTCCTCCTGCAGGACAATACACATGTCTCATGAAACCCTTTAGGGACCATGAAAAACATAAAGTAACGTAATAAAAATCTAGAAAACCACTACAATAACTAGAAAAGCTACAACATTTTAAAACTACAAAAAGCTGCAAAAAGGACCGGAAAAAGACACAAGATGAATAAAAAGAGCTATAAAATAACCTTCAGTCACAAAATATCTAGAAAAAATAACTAACTAGAGCACAACAATAACCACACGCAAAATATCTACAAAGAAAACAAAAAAAACTAATAAGAAGTGTATTTTCTCTGTGAAAGTGCTTTACAAAGTCCTGCACAACCACAGGTCCTCGAACGCCTCATGGTCACATCTGTAGTGTCTCGGATACATTCATATTTTACACTGAAGGTAACAGCGCTGTGACTTCCTGTCTCACCCTCGCACGTGTCGTCTCCCTCTGACATCAGCTCGTCGTCGGAGCAGATGTTCAACACGTTCACCAGCATCTCCGTCACTGACACACAGACACACACACACACACACACACACACACACACACACACACACACACACACACACACACACACACACACACACACACACACACACACACACTATCAGTTGGTCAGAGCACACACAGGCCTTCAGTTTGATGCTTTTGACCAATTAAACCTAAATATATTCAATGTACTGTTAGGATAAAGAGAAAATGAATATTCTGTGTTTTTTTAATCGACTGAAAATGTCCCATTTATAAAAAATAAACAATATATGAAATCACAACTGAGCCGACCAATATAGTGGAACATTTTATGCTAAAAATCTAAATATTTTATAAGATTAAAATAGTACATTTATGAGAAAGACATCTTCCCAAAAAGTCAGAAAGCAAGGAGCTCTGCAACCGCTGCATAAATCTCTCATCTAACACGAGCTGCAGGACACACTCACTCCACCCCCACACACACAGTCTCTCACCTTTCTCCCCGACGAAGGGCAGCGACCAGGTGAACACGTCCATGAAGTTGGGCAGCCAGTAGGGATGAGGGGAGCAGTTAAACTGCCGGATGTTCATCACGTTATTCTCGTATTTCAGCACCGCGGCTGAGGACACACACACACACACACACACACACACACACACACACACACACACACACACACACACACACACACACACACACACACACACACACACACACACACACACGTCAATACCAATAGAATAGGAATAGTGCAAGAAGAGTTCTGTATACAAGTAATTAAGAATATGAAATATTAGATAAATCATTCTACACACACACAGATTAACATGTCTGCTGTTGCCAGGACTTCAAGGTTTCAGCCTGTTGCCGTGGTTACGCTCACCTTTGTTATTGTACACGTCCAGGTAGTTAGGAGCGGAGAAGATGGTGATGAGAGACGGGAAGCCGGTCGTCTGGCTCTTCCTGTACATTCGATACCTGACGCGCAAGAACACACATTTATTAAACACTAAAGATGAAGATCAGAGCAAACGGGTTGGACCAAACATAATAATGTCAAAAGTGTGAGGATAAGAGGTTAGATTACAGACACATTAAAGATAGGGGACGAAGGGTAAAGATAACAAAAACATTTAACTTTAAAATTGTAAATGTATAAAAGAGACTTGAATATTCTGTGAGATAATGAAGTCACACATTGAGGAGAAAATGTACAATTTGAGTCACTTTCA